AGCTCAGGTTTTCCCTGGGGGAGCTTCTACTAGCTGTTTCCAGGCCCCGCAGAGCTCCACAGGCAGAGGAAGAGCCTCATCTTCTCAAAAGCCCCCTTTCAGAGGCCATAGCTCCTTAGGCTCTGACGCCCCAGGCTTGGGCCAGAGTATGAAGTCTGCAGCCATGAAGAGTCAGTCTCTTGGACCCCAGACACTAGTTTACTAGGTTCAGGATACCACTGGATATCTTCTAGAAACCCATGGGGCTGGACAAGAGGTTCTTTGCCTGGGGGATGAACCACAGGCTCTGGGTTTTCATCCCTCAGACACATTCCAAGTCTCTGGCTCTTTCTCTGGACATAGACACCTCCTTGCCCTTGACCCCTGAAAGCCACTTAAAATGCCCATCATCCTGCCTTTCCCAGGAGAAAGAGCTTGTCTCAGTTTCCATGTGACATTGTAACTAAACACTGAGTGTCACTAAGTACAGAAAGTAAGGCATTAAGGCACGATGTAGCTTCCTAGAGAGCCGGAGTGGAGAGGCCTGAAGTCTAATAGACCGGTTACATGGCGATGCCCTGGGCAGGTCACCTGGCCCATCCGGCCTCGGATTTCCTCATCTGTTCATTGGGGTGTCGGCTCAGTTGGTGTCTAGAGGCCTCCCAATTTGTCCATCCTTTGGTCTGTGAGCCCTTCTGCCTTCTGCTATGGCCAAGGCCCTAGGGGTGAAGGTGTACTCCTGCAGGGTGGCCGAGGGCACACGTCAGAACCCCTGCAGCAGTGTGAGGCTTGCCAGGGTCGCTCTCTTCCCCAGCGCATACCCTTGGGATCTCTGGGCAGAAGCCCTGGAAGGCACCTGCCGGGTACCACTCCTGCTGTCCTGGGACAAAGGTGAACCTCCTCCCTGCCTCGTCTTTTGCAGGCAGTGAGCTCTGCAGCCCCAGCCCAGGCTCTGGCAGCTTCGGGGAGGAACTACCTGCCCCTCAGTACACAGGGCCCTTCTGCGGCCGGGCACGAGTCCACACCGACTTCACTCCCAGCCCCTATGACCATGACTCGCTGAAACTGCAGGTAAGGGTCATCCGAGCCCCTCTGGAGCCTGGCAGGCTGCACCCATAAAGGAGGCAGGACTCAGCCAGAGTAGGACAGGGTCAGCAAAGCCAAGTGGCCACCTCTCTTTTCTCCCGGACTCTCCTCCTTCCCCACAGAAAGGAGACGTGATCCAGATCATTGAAAAGCCACCCGTGGGCACGTGGCTGGGTCTGCTCAATGGCAAGCTGGGCTCCTTCAAATTCATCTACGTGGACGTGCTGCCCGAGGAGCGGGGGGGGCCTGCCCCCCCCACCCGCCGGCAGAGCAAAGGCAAGAGGCCCAAACCTAAGACTCTGCATGAGCTGCTGGAGCGCATCGGCCTGGAGGTCTGCACTTGGGCCTATATTCGTGTCTGGTATCGAGGGAGGGTGCTCCCCCTGGGGATGGGGACCAGGGGGCCACAGCCGTATGTAGGGGGAGGTCCTGGTCAGGGGCAACTATAAGCAGCTCTGCCGGTGGCCCACCTCTCCCCACAGGAGCACACGTCCACCCTGTTGCTCAACGGCTACCAGACACTGTGGGGGGCGCCCGCTGGCATTCCAGGAGGGGAGGCCTGCCCTGGCCCCTGACCACACTCTGCCCTGGGGCCTCTCTGCAGAAGGCAGGCACTTCCTGCGCTTGGAGTCTGAGTCCTGGGAAGGTTTTGGGGGGGGGAAGGGCTGTAGGATGATGGGCTCAATCCTCTTTCAGATCAAAGGGGAGAATTAAGGCCAGGGAAGATAAGGCTTCAGGCTGGGTAATAACAGCCAGGATTCAAGGCCAGGCTGCCTGGCTCCAGCTTAGGGCTGAGGAATTTTGAACCCTGGGCCCGGGGTTGCCTGCAAACCACTCCCACCCGCTTCTAAGCTGAAGGTGCTGGGAAGAAGGGTGCCCAGTGGGAGAGACTGCCTAGAGTGGGCTTCCTGGGCCCCTATGAGGGGGGTCCCCAGGGCTTCTGAACTACCCACACACACACAAAGAACCAAGGCCTGCTAGTTCTGCCTCCCTCCCTCACCCTGGCAGCTGGCAGTGAGGAGGCAGAAGAGGGCTCCGAGGGCAGCCAGGAACCGGTGGTGCACACGGTGTCGGAACCCAAGGTGGACATCCCACGTGACTCCGGCTGCTTCGAGGGCTCGGAGAGCGGGCGTGATGAGGCCGAGCTGG